AGTCTGCTTCTCCCTCTCCCACTCCCCCTGCTTGTGTTCCTGCTCTCGCTATCTCTCTCTCTCTGTCAAATAAATAAATAAAATCTTATAAATTCATTTTCTATAGGTATAATATCTGTAGTCTAAATTCACTATACATATAAGTGTATAGTTGGGAAAGCATGCTAAAAAGAATACCCTCTTACTGAAAAATTTATTGTGCTTTTTAGATGTGTTAGAGCTATAGATTCCAAGAATTTAGTGATTTTTTTTGTCTAATACGACATCCAAATCTCTTTTATTCTTTGTTTCATGAAAGTATGTTAGAATATAGCTTTACTGCCAAACATTACTAGCATAATGAAAAACTGACGTTAAGAGTTAACATGTTCCTCTTGATTTGGTTCATCTAGATTTGTAATTTTTTAAAAATAGATAGGTAGCCGGTGAAAATTTTACAGCCAGATACACTAGTAGTTGCGGCATCTGTTCTAGTGCTTAGACATTTCAAAGCACTGAAGAGTACTTTCAACAGCTTACAGGAGAAAATCATCATTCCAGGTAACTTTTCTATGTTTGAAATACTTTCCATGGGTAATGGGTAGATGATAAATGGGATCAAAATTTTAAACACACAGCATTAAAAATCCCACCAAATAGCATGGTAGCCGGATTGGAGCTGGTAGCATCAATCCAAGGACTTACTTATTTGGTTCTGAGCCTGACTCTTCACTGTGTAGACAAGCTTAACTTTTCATAATTCTGTCATTAAGGAACACTGCATTTTTCTGAGAGTAAAGATGAATGACAATGTAAATTATTTGGCTTTTCAGAAGATTTCACAGATTTAAAACATCGTTCTGGTAGATGACAAATCCAAGATTCATATCTCAGGGTTAAAGAGCTGATGTCCTTCATGGATAAGTAGCTTTACAACATGAATTAATTATTTTTATTTGATATTTTATCTTGAGATAAAGATTTTGAATGCTAATTGAAACTCTGGTCTAGTTGCTGCCAAAGAAAGCTAAAACCTTAAATCTTCCTTTTCTTATATATAGTGTTTTTTAGTAGTGGTTTAAATAATGTCTTATGTAAGGTGCCTTGGATGAGTAAAAATACCCTTCGTCCATAGGTATTTTACACTTGGTATTATTTTTCCAGATCTCACAAATCTGCTAAGAACTTTCCACTAACTTTTTTTTTTCCTTTTCTCCCTTCAAGAATTTAAACTGTTATTTTTCTGGGATCTATCCCCAAAGCCCTAAATTTTATGATAATCATCTCTCCTCCTGTTTCTTTTGAGTTCTTAACTTTCTGTATTTCTCTGTTACATTGTGCACCTCTGTTGCTCTCTGCAATATTGATTAGAAATGAAAAGTAAATAAAAACTAATACAGCTACCAGAGAAATTTATTGGTCTGCTTTTTGACTTTCCTGTTTGCTTTATTATTTCTTTTGTAAATGATCCTAATATTTCTTCCTCCCTTTCCAGTTTAGCTAATTCAACATTTCTTATTCTCCAACCTGTGAAAGCTCATTACTAGGTTTCTGAGATTAGCAGTTTCTCTATATTCTACTAAAAGAACACTTTTATTGACTTTTTGGTGTTTGATTGGCCTGTTTCACATATTTATGGTTGCCTCACATTTGTCTTTATTACAAGAGAACGATTTATAGCTAGACATTCAAGGCAGCAATCAGTGGCAATGTTTTCATATATTTTAGGTATATTTTTAATATTAAAAAATAATTTGACCCCACCATCGCCATCACAGGGGTATACAAGATCAAACGTGTGGACAGCCATCTTGAATACTCGAATTGGGCATCAGAGGGACACTGCAAGTCATGCCATGTTTTCACGCCACTTCAAACTTCATCTTTTAGAAGAGCTTCTCCGTTGAAAAAGGAAAAGAATGCACATCCGTGTGCACATACGTGTATCAGGTAATTTCATACACAATCCCATTTCGTATTTCTGTATTGCCTTCCCCATTTTCCATATAACAATGTTGAAGCCAAGTAGTTAAGTAACCTTCTCAAAGTCGTAAGAGCTCTAGGTGGTGGGTCTGTGATCCATAGGTCTGCCTTTCAGATACCACCCTGTGTTAAATATGTCTCTGCCTCCTTAAAGAGAAAGATGTATGACCATGTAGGAAAAAAGGTCTCAATATCCTTCTTTATCATTTGGGGACTTAGAGATAAATATAATATTGTTTTTTCACAGTTTTCTGACTCCCTCCCCCAAAACACCCAACATCATAAACTTAAAGAGATTGAGATTGTTTGTTAATCTAAGAAGGCTTTATTGAACATCCACCTGCTACTGATACGGTGTAAGATGTGGAGGAAACGTAATGATGAAACACGGGCTCTAACCCGAAAACGTTAAATTTCCATTTGCTACCCCTCCTCCCCTCCCCCATTAAGACTTTTGTTTCTTTCATCTGTAAAATGATTAAAATCATAGTACCTACCTCATTTTACTGATGAGGGAACTAAGGCTTGGAGGAATTAAGTGGCTTTCCCAAGGTCATGCAGCCCGTCAGTGACAGAGCCGTGATTCGAACGCAGGCTGTCTGGTTTCAGTGGGCATGTGCGCGCAGCAGCTCCGCGCTGTCTGCAGAAGATCGACAGACATCACCTGGAAAGCGGCGTGACATTGTCTTCTTTCGGGTTCCGTACAGGTGGGGGATAAGTTCTCTTGTTTCTCCATTAGTGAATCTTAGAGCTTTTGGTGCCACTGTTAGAAAACTATGTCAAATGTGTTACGTGTTAGTCTAGGAAAACACAAGGACCTAGAAAACTACTCTCTTTAACCAGGTTTAAAATGAAATAAAATTAGCTACCTTTCTTTCTTTCTTTCTTTCTTTCTTTCTTTCTTT